GGGTCTCAAACGTTAGTGAGCATCAGAACCACTTGGAGAGCTTTTAGAATAGAGACCTCTGGCCTCCACCCCCCAGAATTTCTGATTCTGTAGTTCTGAGGTAGGGCCTGAGAATTTTCATTTCCAACTACAGTTGCTGGTGATTCTGATGCTGCTGGGACCACACTCTGAGTGGGACTCACACTGAGAGTGTGACAACCACTGACCTAGGGAATCATCACAAAGTATAAGCTATTTTCGGAAGCATGTTGGGTTTCCAGAATGGTGTGTGCAGAGAAACATGAACATCTCCTGTATGAAGGAGATAGTTCCTGATGAACTATACATTCCTTGATTTCCAAGAGTTCCAGAGGGTCCATAGATACAGTTGAGTGAAAGAGAACCAACCGAGGTTTGAGGTCAGAGAACTCAAATTCTGATTGGAGCTCTGCCACTTAATCAGCTGTGACCTGCCTGAAGATCAACTTCTGTTCGACAGTAAAATAGAAACCATCACTGTGGTTTTAACTTTATCAAATTCTTGGCACTTAGCAGGCATGAAACAAATTTTAGTTAAATCTTAACCTGTGTGATATTAGAGTTCCATATCTATATTTCCAAGTCAAACATATTGTCAGGAAAATTAGATAATTAAAGTGAACACATTTTGCAACAATGGAAAATAGCAGCACAAAGGCCGTAAAATCCATTTAATTATTCTCTAAGTTTCATGAATTTGATCATTGCCATTAGTTACCTACCTTTGTTTAAAAAAAGAAAGAGCTATAATTTTTACTTGTATTTACCTCTTTTTCATCAATTCTTTTTTCTTACTCTTCTTTCCCATATAACCCAACTTCACAACCTTTAAAAAAATTTTTTTTCAACTGTATGGGTTTGTAAGTGTCTAAATTGTTTCTAAATTATTCTAGCAACTGGATTTTTTTTTTTTTTTTTCTCAGTAGGAGACTTGAATGTTGCCTATAGTGGATTCTACTTCTGCTTAATCCAGGTCAAGATTTATGGAGACCTCATCTGGTGACAAGAGGCACCACAGAGGCTTTCTTCGGGCTGAGTTCGGTCAAAGAGAAACTCAGAACTCAACTGGAAGGAAAATAATCCAGAAAGAATTAAGGCCTAGAATTTAATGTTACTGAAGCAGGCAAGGCCTCCAACAAGCATCCTGCAATAATACTGAAGAAATAATACATTTTTTTTAAAAAATGAGAAACCTTGTCACTCATTTATAAATTTCCCTTTATTAGTTGATGACACAAAAAATTAATGTGCCTTGCCTCTCAGGAATGAGTTACAGTCTTTCTTTTTTTCTTAATGAAATCCATTAGCTGTGTCTTCTTATTTAAATTTACATCAAATTAAAATATACGTTTCTATAGTTATGTTGCCATGAATGTTGTTTTTGTGTCCCTCTTGGTTTTATACAGAAGGAACAGTGAACCAGAGAGAGAATCAAACTTGAATTCATGTCTATGAATTTCATTCATGCAATGATATCAATAATATTATTTATGAATAATTGGAAAGCTTGATATGTTCTTGCAATTAAAATACAGAATAATTATTCCATGTGGTGGATAAAGCCAAACACAAACACGGCTTGTTGCTTACAAGGTATAAAAGTTGTGAAATAAAATTAATTAGTGTAGCAATAACCATATTTTAACCATGTAATTTACTGGTATAGACTAAAAAAAAAAAAAAAATCACCGTGGGAGAGGGGATCTTTCTCAATGACAGGTGCATTTTTTTTTTTTATCTCATTTTTCTCACGAGAAAATGTGATTATAACTTCTCCTTTCTCTTTCTCAAGGAAGTTATATAACAGACCTTTAAGCTAAAATCTAGAAGGACAAATGAGTCAATAAATGTCAAATGTTTTGAAGTCTTTAACAGAACAGAGCAATAGAAATCTGTGACATTAAAATGAGTAATCCTGAGAGTTCCACTTCAGTTATTGGTTGGGTAACCTGTCTTTGAAAATGTCCTCAAAAGCACTTTAAATTTTTAAGGGTAGGCAAAAATGACATAGGTAGAGGGAGAAATTAAGAAAGGGCATTTTGGAAAATTTAAATAGGATCAGTATTAATGAGGAGATATTGGAGAGATTTCAGCTTGGGTATGTTCTTGAATTAAAGAAATCAGCTAATTATCAGGGTATCCACAATGTGCCAGGCATATTGGCAGCTGCTGTAAATAGAAAAATGCATTGGACAGGTAGATTCCCTTGCTTTCAAGGCACCTACAGATAATTTCACAAATAATTACCATACTGTGAGACTGGCATTAGGTTGGGGGCTTGTACACATTCCTTTAAAAGCTTTTTAAAGGTGGGATGGGAAGAAGAAGAACGAGGTGACGCGTTTTAAATTCCAATGGAGTCGACTCATTTAGATGTCATTTCAAATCTACAGTGACATTGGTTTTTGCCTGGGGAGTGCGAGCTGTTGCCAGACACACATCACACTAAAGAGACAAGAAAAAACAAGGAAATTCTCTTTCAAAACATAGTGGGGAAAAAATATCCAGAACAGTCCTGAAATAAAAGAAACCTTCTGGTACAACGTGCGTTGCTAGGGATTTATTTTTTCCCTCCTTCCCCGCCTCAGAGAGTAAAATCACACAGACACATTCAAGCCGTTCGAGTTTTTGAGCGTATTGTATATTCAAGACGTCAACTAACCCTGGTGTTGTCAAGTGTGTGACTAGAAAGAAAGGGTTAAGCGGAAGGGGGTGGCTTGGAGATGGGCAGGCAAGCAAGACGCCTGAAAAACACCGTTTTCCAACTTGCAAAACTCTGAACTTTTATGCTCCCCCAAATACACATGTGTGTCTGCGAACGCAGGCAGATCTATTTCGGTAGGATTCTTTTTTTTTTTTTTAATTTTAAACCATAATCTCTCTCTCTCTCTCCAAACATTGAGCAGCCCCCTTAGGATCGCGTGGCAAAAGCTGCAGCAGAGGCACTGCCCGCGCTATTTATTGATGAGCCACGTTCAAAGCCGCCCTCTCTCCCTTCTCCTGCCGCGAACGACCATCTCCGAGCCCGGGTCACCTCTGGGGACGAGGAATTGGGGGCGGGGACCTGGGAGCCTCCTTCCTCCTGCAAACTTTGCCCGGGCGTGGGAGCGGAGGCGCGAGCCGGGACGCACGGGAGCGCGCGCCGCCCGTCG